TTATAATATAAAAAAAATGTTTTATTAATAAATAAATATATTTTCCTAATTATGATATGAAGTTAAATATATATATAAATATATCCTCTATATTATTCTATTTCTTTCTTATAAAATAAAATTGAATTTTTAATATTATATATTATACTATATTTATATTTTTAAAAAATAATCATTATTTCATTATTTCATTATTTAAAAAATTTACAGAAAATAGATCACAATATTGTTATTTAAATATCACAGTATTGTATAATATATTGTATAATATATTAAAATACATAATCGTATAAATATCAAAATGTATAAAAAAATATAAAAGTCCATATAAAAATATTAATTCAATTTTAATGATATTATTTTTTTAATTTAATAATATAAAATATTTTGTAATTATATAAGCATCATATACATAAAAAATATATATATTATGTAAATTATTTTTAAGCTGGTGTCAACTTATACAATGGATAAATTAATGTATAAATACTGACAATTGAAGATATCATACCAAGTATGCCAATTGTTCCAGGAGTTAATTTCGTAAAACCTAATGCTGTCAATGGAATAAACATATCACAGCTATTTTTAATTGTATCTATTACAATATTTTTATGATTCTTTAGATGATATAATAATTCATATTGTCTCCATAAATTAGATGAGAATTTTGGTGTTCTCATTAATACATCTTTTCCTTCATTTTCAAAAATTTTTATGATTTCATAAATATCTCTTGTAAGATTCATAATAATATTCATTAACCAATACTTATTAGCTATTTTACTCCATTTTTTTATATTAACTCTAAGTAATCCTACACGACCAATCCAAATTATATGATCTGCTAATAAAAACAGAGCATTGGCAATTTTTGATAGAGTCAAAGTGACTCTTATGGTTACCTCTGGATATTTCATCATTTTTAAAGCAGAATATAAACTGTCCAAACATCTCCCAAGGCGTAACACTATAGAAAAATAAAAATAATATATTAATAACAATAACAATTATATTAAAATAATAAATATCAATAATATTATTTAATATTATAATTTAAAACAAATAAAATACATTTTCTGAAAGAACTAAATGTATATTCTAAACTTCTTAAAATTTCTGCAGAATTTTGTGTACTATGATTTTTCTGAGCATAATACCAATAAGCTCTGCTTCCATATTGTAATAATCTGTAAAAATAATTATACAATATTAATTTTATATTTATTTAGTTAATTATACAAATGATTAGAAACATTTCTAATTTTAAATATAATTAATATATATTTTTATATATTAAAAAAAAAATTAATATGTAATATTTAATTATGTAATTTTATATAAAATTTTATTAAAAATATTTTTGAGTACATCATAATAAGAAAAATAAATTACAATATTCGTGAAGTATAATATTAAGTAATAGAATACAGGTTATGTAAAATAGAAAAATTTAATATTATGCTAATGAAAGACAATAAAAAACAACTTATATATTTAAATACATTTAAAAAATAAATAAATTGTATACCTAATAATTCTGTCTCTGCCTATTGTTTGTTCATTTAGTTTTATTATTATATCCATAACGCACTTTCAGATAGTGTAAAATTATACTTAAAGAATATAATTTTTTATTTAAAAGAGATTTACAAGTTCCGCACTGTAACGTTTTTATTTATAAGCACATATAAACAATTAAAATATAAATTATTAATATTATTACACACACATATGAAACTTAACCCAACAAATTAATGTGCAAAGTTCTAAGCTCTAATATCTAAAGACTAATGACATAATCTTTTATATTCATAATTATGATATTGCAACGTAATTTCGAACTTTGTTTTATAATACTCATAACATACTTCAAGCAAAATTGACCAAGTTTA